ATATGCCCACATATTGCACGTAAATAAACAACATGAATCGTAGGTTGTTTCCACCCTTGTCATCTNTAAAAGGTTCTGATACCTGTACTATTACTTATTCTGTGCTGATACTTGCCTGTAGCCATTATCCAATCCTGGTTTCTACTGAAAAACTACCTCGTGGCAAGATTTTAATAAAATAATAAAATCTTTATCTTCTCTTTCATTCACAATCTATAAAAGTTCATTTGGTCTATTATTATACATGTGCTATGAATGAGGGTTTTCGCGATTGAAAAATCCGCGAGATGGCAATACGTAGACGCGAGGTCCAAATGCTGCATGATTGGATTTTTCAATCGCGAAAACCCTCATTGGCATAGATTATGAGAGACTGGCAACTATACTAGGTTGATATAGGTATGTTTCTCGCACTTCAACTGGCATTGGATTCAACATCGGATTCTGATACTTTTACAGTTATGATATCATGAATATCAGTTTATGGTCCTAATTATTTTTATTTTATTTACGACCTTCGACCAGTTGGACACTTTAGATAACTTCTTGTAATAGTGTCAATATCTTTTTAGCTTTTAACGCAAATCTAGTCTTCAAAGCAATTTAATAAATTTTTTTTTTTCAAAATCGATATTTTATCGTCTATGATGGCCGCAGGAACATCACTATACATGGACTCCCAGCAATAAAGTACGGTAAAGCCTCGTACAGATTTTATCGGCAAAAATTATGGAACTTGATAGGTTTTAGACCATGCCAAGCACCAAAACGTCCGGAAGTTGTAATAGTATTATAGAATAAACGTTAAGAGACTTATTTATTTAATTTTTCAATGCTTAAGTGTCCATTAGAATCAAAGGGTGCTTAATGTATTAAAAAAAATAGAAAATAATTATGATGGGTTCATGTTTTTGGGCGGTTTTTTAGGCGATTTCTGACAATGTCCTTTTTTATGGATAACATGTTAGGCAATAGTAATCGCACCTGGTGTTAAGTAAGATGCAGTCTAGGATGGTACATAGGCACTTACAGGGCAGATACCTGTAAGTGCCTATTCACTATCGCCTTAAAACCTATACCTACTTGAGATTTTTTGTTTTTGAGCACTGTTTCTTACGCCCGTATTCACAAACGACGCTTGCTTACCTAAGTGAAGCAAGAATCGAATGCACATCGTTGAATAGAGCTCTGTGATTGGTTCATGTTTTACCCTGTGCGGCCACGCGCACTATGAGACCTCATAGTAATGTTTGTGAATACGGGCGTTAGTACGGGTCCTCGGCACTGATATTGATATTGGTCAATTTGAGACACTTGAGTTACAAGGAATAGGTTCCTAACTTTAACCATGAAGTAGGTTTACTACGACTTTCGAATATTCGCCAAAGTATTCGAATATCAGTGAGAGAGCCTCGTATTTAATTAAATGTTTCCCATCGATTTGAACCTCCTTTGGCTAAGTTTTGACTTCAGCTGAAATACTTGAAGTACGAGTATCCTACTTCAGATATAACTACCTGCCGGAATTCCATAAATTTACGGTTTCTGTAAATAAAAAAATATACAAAACTAAGTAGGTATGTGAAGCCTTTGCGCAAATGACCAAACAATCAAGCTAATCTAAAATAACATTTTCTTTAAAGCCATTTATTATCTTTGTACAGATTCGCGTATCTACGCAAAAAAAAAACGTTCTTGCTCACCTTTTACAAAAACTTTGCACCAGTTCTGAACTCTAACAAGGCTGTCAGTTGAGAATAGGTTAGCAACTGACTTTTAGGTTTTATCGCGTCTCAGAAACAGAAAGTATCTAGAAAAGTTGTATCTTTGCTTGTGTAACTAGTTTGCAATTATCAATAGGAGATAGGTGCAATAGAAAAGTGGGATGGTTTGCTTCAAGTAAATTGAGTACCTACTTTGATTATTTATCATCATATTTTTGAACGGCTGCTTGGACTCTTGGTTGTAATTCAAGCCCTTCTTAGGGTCTTTTTAACTACGAGGAATCTCTTGGCCTGCATCTCAAGTGATGGAAAATGATTTAATGTTACACATCACTAAAGCTGAGACACCTAACTTTGACCGTAACTATAACGATAACCGGTATTTTTTGTATGGAATTTGACAGATTTTTGACGTTATCAAAGTTAAAATAAGATGGTGCATCCAGCATAATTAGTGTCTCACTATAGCAACCTATAGAAAGGCGGCCAACATCTAACTTTTACTCTATGTGCCTTACGTTATTACGTTAAACTTGACCTATCCACATAAAATACAGTCGACATTCAAACGTTTTTGACAAAATCGCATGTACTACAACTATATAAACTGCAGTTCGTAGCTTGGTGTGCCTGTACAACTGCAAGTCAATTCAATATTCCCTCTACTAAACAATGTGTGTGCAATTTCGAAGACACAAAGGCCGAAGGCCAGAACTGATTACAGTGGTGGTAATTTGCCCGTGACAACTCCTTTATTCATCTCTCACGCTCGCACTGCTGGCCTTTATGCATAACGTGGGACATCACTACAAATTGGTATGCTGATTGCCTAAGTTGCTAATTCGTGAATGTTGGCGTTTTAGGCCAAAAGTCTGTTCTGTCGATTGGTTGATATGGAATTTGTACATTACAAAGCCAGTTATAAAAAAAGAGATCAACAATTTTAGTCTTAAGTACCAAGTACCTATTATAATATACAATTTTCGTGATGTTTTAGGAAAATGAAATTTGACGAAAATGTAAAATTAATACGATCAAAGTTATTTGTTTTAATGTGGATAACGTCATGACTACAGAATAAACTTCATAATAATTTTAAACCATTGAATGTTTAATAATATGTAAAGCACGGTAAAATGTATTTATTCAGAATATCATCAATGTAGTAGAGATTAATTTCCTGCCCTATAAATCTGAGATTAATTTATACAATGTATCTGACGTACTCATCTTTAATCTTCGATGTGTAAGCGTGATAGTGCATAGTCCCTCTTGAGGTACTCAAAATTGCATAGAAGCGATTTTCATACTACAAAGAAGGGTTTCTTTTGAATCAACTCTTATGAAAATGGTTTTATAATGAGATGGTGTTACGTGACATGTTAGTTACAAGAATCCTTTTACCTACTAGTTTTTGGTTTTGATTCTTGAATTAAATCAAACTTTTGATATCACAATAACAAGTTTTTGTACCCTAAATAAGGATACTGATTTAATTTCGTAATTGGCTCTCCATTTGTGCATTTCAGTAAACGGAATTTAATTAGTGTTATTTAGGTATCCTCCTTTGGTCACGATAGTAAACACTAGAGTTCACTAGACTACGCCAAGCTCTACCTTATTATGCAAATTGCTTATACACAAACTGTGTATTTTAATAGCCTCTGAAAATAAGGTCCCATTTCCATTAACTCACCGCGATATTTCTTGCAAAAAGATTTTTATTGGAAATTTATTCAAAATAATAAATTCCTAGATGAGGGGTCCGGCTGGTTATCTGCATACATCAAAAGAATATATTTGGACGGCCATTCCGCCCGAGAATCATGAGGCGATCTTTCATATTGCCCACCTACCATCCGTCAATAACTTCCAAGGATGCTCACTGTTTTATGAATATAAATAAACCTATTTTGAGAGTAAAGAAGCGTGGACAGAAAATACTAATGCTTTGTGGTAATAAGGTCACTTCAGGTAATTTTGGTGATGTAAGATGACGTCATTCGTCGTCGTCTTTTATTTATGAATGTTTTATAGTAATGTTTATATGTTAAATAGCTCTACAAATGAATGTTGATATTAATATATTTTACAACAACTTTTGGTCACAACTTTTACAGGGATAGGTGTTAGAATATACTTCCGAATAATTATGAACTTCTAGACAGTGCCTAGCTATTTGTACCTAACTATCAATAAATTGGTTTCGAACTTGAGCTGACTTACCTTTTTGTCAAGCAATGGACTGCAGTCTGAAGAATTAACTGTTCCTTAAACAGCACTCCCTTCTGCTTACGATTTGACTAAGTCCAAAAAACATTGTAATGTTTTAAGAAAACTTAAAATAATACTTACCTACATCCGAAGAACCTCCTACCTTGACTTAGGTGATCATAATAGCACCCGATGAAAGCCTATCAGGTCCTGTCTCTAGTTTCAGGTGTTTACTCAGTGAACGGATGACAGAGTTTGAGTGGCGAAAAGCTATTGGTCTAATGACCCTGAATCTCCTATAACGGTCTATGGTCTACTGACTCCTAAATAACTCCTTAAGACCATGTTTAGCTTCGACCTAAAAACTATTCTAATCTTCAGCGACTCCTAAACTTCCTCTGGAGTAGAGATGAGACGTATTTACTAGAACAGATCCACACACTAGGTATTTTACAGTACTAAGTGGCACCTATTCCAATTTTTAAAATACTTGATCCACCTAGTATTTTTTAAATTACACGATTTCCGACCCTACCACCAAAGTAATAGAGGTTATTATTGCATAATCCGTAGTCGTCCACCTAGTATTTTTTANGGTTACACTATACGGGAAATTGACCTAGAAGAAGCCCAAGCACGCACGTCGAAGTATGGGCGACGCACGGCGAAATTAACTGAAGTGCGTGTTTACACATAAAAATAAAATAAATCCTTGGACATTTTTTACACTGCGCCTCTAGTCCCAAACTAAGCAAAGATTGTACTACGTATGGGTACTAGACGACGGGATAAACATACTTAAATACTTTTTTTTTTATTTTTTTTTTGTTTTTTTTTTTTTTTTTTGTAAATACATACATATTATACATAGAAAACACCCAGACCCGTCACATAAATTAAAATTCATCATTTCAATTTCTGCCCGGCCGGGAATCGAACCCGGGACCTCTCGGCATAGTAGTCCGTTCTGAACCACTACACCAAACGGCCGACAAAATAACATGTCTCGAATAATAACCCGCATAGTGTAACTTGGCCATTAATTTGATGCTGCAAACATACCTCGGTCTAGCAGCTTGAGTATAGTAGCGGTCGAGTTCCTGGAGCATACGGAGGGCGTCGGCCATGTCGTGGGGACCCTCCTCCCTGGCCTCAGCCAAGCAGATCACGGCCAGGACCACGGCGATGGCGACGGCGATTCTCTTGCTCATCATCTTGGATGCTGTGAAACAAATCATAGATAAGACGATTAATTTTGTACAGTCAACATTATTAGCGTTAGTGAACAATTTAATCCGTACGTCCTTAGCTATTGTAGGTACATTGTTTTTTTTTGTATTCTTAAACCTTAGAATAAACATTTTTGTTTGAAAGATTGGGGCAAAACCGACAATATCCCAATAATGTCAGTGTATGCCTGGCCGAATCGAGCTCCAAGAAACGTGAGTTCGAACCCCGTTGCTGCTTGTGGTAAACCCACGCGAAACACAAGCATATTTAGCTTACCACGAGGGGTTAGCGGGACTATCAAAATCAAAATCAAAAATATTAATTCAATTTAGGCCACAAGTGGCACTTATATAGTATAAAGAAATAATATAGTAAATAATAAAAAATAAAAGGTAGCCCTCATGGGGCACTTTACATGTCTCCTTATCTTTTGGGCCCTACCAGCGCTTCGAGACAAACATATGGCAAGTGCTGAGATGAAACGCCGGAACCAACTCAGAACAAATCAGGTAGCCAAAATCGCACTTATTATTAAAATTTATAGGGAAGACTGAGGCAAAACGGGAAATGTTGTAGTATACGTGACTCGTACACCTAACAGTGCTACCTACGCTTCATTAGAAAGACCTCAAGTCGGCTCACGTCAGCTGGACACAAACTTGAGGCTGCGTGTCTTGGCTACATCATGAAACATTTTGTTTGTTTAGTTTTATTAAAATTAGTAAGAAATTTTGAAGCGCCACGAGGTGAATAAACGAGTTTTCAAACTATAATCGTAGCTGTGTGTGTTTTATTTTAAAAGAATGTGTGTTGGAGCAAAACAATTAAATACTGGTGAAAAATGTTAGTCATGTACTAAAAAAACTCGAGGTTTATACAAAGGTTAATTTAAAAAGTCAAATCAAAACCTGCATTTCGTTTTGATTTCCATTTCCTTATCTCTTATCTTTTCTTTGAAAGCTTTCTTCTACATTGAATAAATAAACAACTTTGATTTTTGTCAGCAGTTAGTTCACATCATGGCGCTATTTTCGTGTTAATTATACGATACGCAAAGTTTAAATAGCTTAGTTATGAAAATTTCTTAGCGATAAGTAGATTTTCTGCCTTAGGCAGTTCGAGTTTTGCAAGTTGTTTCACACTCGAAAAACATAACCCTCCTTCTGGCGCAGTCAGGTAAAAATAGCTTAGTTGTTTAACCTTTTAATAACGACCTACAAAACTATAATAATATTGTTACGTCACTATTCTGTCACACATAACTTGTTCAAATAAACTCATAATCAATTTTCCAGGACAATGGGCAAGTGGTAGAGTCCCGTCCTGCCCGATTTGCATCACAATATTCACATGTCGGTTTGGATGAGCAAAATTTGCCACGCTATGACGTTTTGTAGGTTGTAATTGTCTCCATGTGTAGTCGACAGAAAATCAAGCTATACTATTTTGTTGTAAAAATCACTTATAACAGCTAAATAAGTGGCTGCAGTGTATAGGTAGACAGACGTCTAGTCAACTCATGATGACATGTTAATTTATTACTTTTTTAATGACTGTTAAGTCTATTTTAGGGCACTAACAAAGTTCAAAGTTCGTAAAATATTGAGCTATAGTTTTCTATTCAACCCAAATAAGAAAGTATTAAGTGACTTCCGTCTATCTATAAAAATAGAATTTAGTTCAGCACCATCAATTTTGATAGATATTTTCTATTACTGTCAACTGCAGTCGGGTGAGGCCGGAACAGTCCTACAATATATTATTCAAATATGAGAAAAACCTATTATATTTTCAGTTGTCACTTCACACTACAAAGATATAAACTCAGACCCTCTGGGAGGCTTTAGACGGACATGCCCTTATATTGTGTGACCTCTGACTTCCCACATTTCCGAACCACATGGGAAATAGTTTCATCAGCTTATCTAAGGAAATAATACAACAATTTCCTCGTACGCTTATATCATTTTACGTTAAAAGGATTTCACGGTATCTATATTATTTATGGCATAAAGAAAAAAAAACTAGATTTTTTTTTCAGTTATTAGGTAAGTAGTAACACACACGAATGATTCTAAAAGGAGTACTCTGTAACCTGCAATTGAAACATTTCTATACTTAGTTAGGTACCTACTTTCAATCATTTCAAAATAGAATAAAATGATTTTTTTTTTCTACTTTTTACACTCACATTTTAAATAATATTATATACAAATTCTGACTGTGCTAAATAATCCCAACTATATTATATAATAATATTATAAATGCGAAAGTAACTCTGTCTGTCTGTCTGTCTGTCTGTCTGTCTGTTACGCTTTCCCGCTTAAACCTCGCAACCGATTTTGATGAAATTTAGCATAGAGATAGTTTGAGTCCCGGGAAAGAACATAGGATAGTTTTTATCCCGGTTTTTGAAACAGGGACGCGCGCGATAAAGTTTTTCTGTGACAGACAAAATTCCACGCGGGCGAAGCCGCGGGCGGAAAGCTAGTAATATATAAATCCTTGTTATTCGTCATTAAAACACTTTTTGTGAATACAAAACCATAAGTCCTATTCTGTGAAATCATTATTTTAATTAGACCTGTATTATGATCCAGACACAAATAGAATTTAATAATAATAATGAATATTCGTATTACTCATTAATACGTGATTTCAAATTGATATTACCCTTCTGCTTATCCTATTACACAGTACAAACGTGGGCAGGCATAGTAAGTACTGAGCAACATGTGTATTATATTTAAGACAAAGCATACGTGTCGTGAATGGGCCACTAAACTAAGCCTTAACGTAATGCTATTATAGTTCAGGTATATTAGGACGTTACTACCTGCCTGTAACTACATAACAAGTAGTGTAAGCCCCTTATAAGATGTAGACGCATCCTTGCTATAAGGAAATACGATAAAAACTAACGGACACGTGTCTTGTGGCTATGAAACTTTGTTACGAGTAAATTAGCATGAAATTGTCAAATAAGGGTTATACCAAAAAATATCCAAGACTTTATAAATGGATAGAACAATGATATTTTGGCCATTTCTAAGTGGTTGTGGCAAGGATAATATAATTTTGCAGCTTAAAAAGCTTAATACTAGTTATTATGACTCCTTCACAAAACTAAAGACTCATATTATTTTCCTCTTCTTCTCACTTAAATGCTAATTCTTGTCTATTATTTATGTTTACCAATAGTCGTAGATATTAGTAGAAGTGGAAATTTTGAGTTCACTGTTCATTATTATCATCATCATCATCAATTCAGCCACAGGACGTCCACTGCTGAACATAGGCCTCCCCCAATGACTTTCACATCCCGCGGTTGGTAGCGCTCATACCAGCTACCTTTATCAGATCGTCAGGTTAACTGTTCAGTGTCCTTAATTTGGCTCGCACTGTATGCGAAAGCTTAAAAAGAAGTAAAAGTAGTGAGAACAAAATTTCGTTGTTTGCCCAAAGCTTCGGCGATCGACTCCACACAATGTCCCGCTGTTTGAGTTGTGGATCGCCCAGTTTGTCCCCGGGATTGTGGGGAAACTTCTTTAATTCCCCATTTATTAGTTGTGCAAGTAGTAAGTCATACAGTTGATGGATAACCGTCAATTTAACTTTTTGAAAGAAGTATTTTGGTGTTTGAACAAAATATAAAGTTAATTGGCGCCGGTATCACAAAGTGAACTATCCTCATACTTACCCTAAGCGCACTCACTAAGGTGTGAGGTGGATTCCCGTTTGGGGATTCCGTTTTTTTCATTATTTTGCCTACGCGTATATCTTTTCTATCAAAAATATCATCGTTATCTTTTAAATCATCAACATAGATAATATTGTCTTATAAATCTAACTGCAAATTATGTACCTATAAGATAAAGTGGCCTAAAGGTGTGACATACAATAAACTTTTGTTGGATTTTTTCCTCAACTCGTGTTGAAAGTTTGTGCTTCTTACCAAATTTCATGATTTTAGATCCCACCACATAAGTTTTCGAATCCCCAGCGAGTGTCAAAAGTTTTGTTCATAGATCGATTTGTTTGTCACAGGAAAAGGTTAAGATAAAATATATTATTATGAAGTAGCACGTCTAAAGTATTTTTTCACCTTATTGAATGGTTTAGCGCCAAGAGGTGATTAGATTTTTTCTTCTTACTTAAAATTTTCCATAAAAGCAATTTAAAGTATCACAATCAAAGTCGTATCAACAAACAATTTGAAGATTTTTCAAAAGCACCCATTACCTTGTTTCTTTTTCTTATTAACAAGACAAAAGCAGGTTTTTTAATTGAATAGACGACGTTTTGTGTTGCAGATTTCCATTTTTCTTATTACATTACTTAAAAAGAGACTAGCCTTTTGCCGCTGTTCCGTCCACAAATTTGACAATATTCGTTTTCAAAGCAAAAATATAATATGTATAATTAAATGAGTTGGTATAATCATGACTAGTTAAAAATTTTAACGTGTGGAAAAAAAATGATTCTACAAAGTAGTTGTTCCCACGGAGGCAACCCGTTTTTTGCAGGATCGCGTACATAGTAGTACACGTGTCGTGTTTTAGTACTAACTTTCACACTAACATCCCGTTTGTAGTGTCCCGCAAAAAACCGATCCGTTTGAATTTGTAATTCAATTTCAAACACACATACCTCTGTCTACATGTCCAGTCCAGTTTTGCCGGACCCTTGTATAAGTTTGAGTGTCAAGTGAAAAGCAAATCCACCAAGAACAATGGGTAAGTAAAACATAGTTTATATTTGGGATAATAGATGGCGCTGTGCTCCTTTAGGTCGCGCTAACATTTGTTTTTTTCTTTCATGTACAACCCTACGATAGCGAGGTGTGCATGGGAAAATGAAAGCTATTTTACAGGCAATAGCATCGTTTATTGAGATTCAAGCTAAGCTATTGTTGAACCTAGCTAAACCTAGCTGAACCTGGGTGGGCATACATTTCCAGGGAGTATATAAAGCCAGGAAAAAAACAAATGT